CCCAAAACCCCAAAACCCCAAAACCCCAAAACCCCAAAATTTGTTGTTAAATTGAAAATGTCAGACCAAATAACACACAAAAACCTCGATGAGTAAGCATCTCTCTCATCTCTAGTGTGACCAGTCACAAGATATTCATTCAGGAATGTGATGGAGTCAAGACTACTACCAATCAAGATGTGGCAAAATTCTCTATAAAAGAGATGAATCTGTTCAATTTTGACAGTAAGCCAAGCTCTTTTATCAAATATGGCCCATTAATTTTCCCTCTATAGGCTTTGAAAGCATTGAAAATGTTAAGACTAGCCAGGAGTCCAAGTCCGGAATACTTGATCACGTCGAATCTTCAGCTTTTGACGGCTGCTACTCCCAGGCTTATATAGCAGACAATACCTTGTTCTCAAATAAATTGATAGAGAAATCAATGCTAGATCTGAAAAATAAATCTAAGAAGAAACTCAATTCGAATTTATCCAAATTCGGATTCTCAAATAAGAAGATTAAGAAATTTCAAGAGCTTATAGATGAAAAGAAGAAGAACCAAGATGCCTACAGCATGAGTAGGAATCTATTAAGGTTCATGCAAAGCGATTCCGCTTTGCATGAACAAAAATCAGGTATTGCTAATCCTCTAATAGCGTAGGTGTTTGCTTTAAGACCTTGAACTATACCACTAGCTTTGAGAAAAAGGAAGCCATTAAGGATATCAACCAATATGAGAGCATGAAGGATATCAAAATAGAGGTAACCTCTATTTGCTCTATCTCTTCTTGCTATATTTTATTTCTTGACTAATTCATAGGTTCCTTCACTAAATATAAAAGCGGTTGAATCTAAAAAGAGATCTACATCGATCAAAACTCAGGTTGAGCTGAGAGCTCAACCTCGAGTCAAGGTAGATTTTAGCCTAACATTTTAGAAAAAGACCAAGAATATATTCAAAAGGGAATATAGTCCTGCTGTTGAGGCTAAATTTAACGTGAAATTGCCCCTCGAGATGCCAATACAGAGCATGCTGAAATAAGATCAATAAAGAAAAGAAGAAGTAATTTTGATAATAATTGATAGAATTAAGAAGAAATCTTCCTATAAGATGCCTCTTATGAGGCCGATCGATAGTAATAAGGATATTAATATAATCCTTAAGAAGAGAATGAGCTCTGTAACAGAGAAGAAGTAGTGCCTGAATGTCATGATTATAGATCAGAAGCCTTGCCAACCCACAGCCCCACTAAGAACATCGAGGTGGAGACGCTCACTGCTCCCTTGAAGGTGCAGAAGATCCAATTTTCGCAAATCCCAAAGAGAAGAAGTTTGAAATAAGGCCGATGTTAAAAGATTAATAAAGGGCCAGGTTTTAAAGGATCCCAAGAAAACTCCGGATCATAGGCTGCTCCGGATAGGCACTCCTGATGTAAAGATGATAGATATCAGAAGAAAGGAGTGTGTGAGTACTTGAAAGAACATCCAAGAAAGCTTGATTGGTGCTAGAGCACCCCAGATGATCAACTCCGGCCTCCAGAAATTCCTTGGTACATGAAATGCTTAAAAAATCTAGAACAAAGTGTTCAGAGTCAAACTGAGATGGACTTTGATACTAACAGTTAGTGACCTTGTTAAATTACAAAATTCAGCTTGCTCATATCTTTTAGATGATCAAATTTCTGAAGAGCGAATTTCGGATAGTTACAGCCCAACTAAGATCAGAGAAATCAAGATTAAAAAGTAACTTGTAGCTCATAATCATAGAGTTCTCATACGTAAGGAATGAACAGCTTTAGATAGTAACTTGTCATTCTCTCTGAATTATCAGCATTTTTGATAGCAAGTTGAGCTTGTGACCTCAACATTTCTCAAATCTTATCTAAACAATGATATAGAAGAGAACAGTCCTAAAAAGATGTGATTCCGAAGGAAAGCTCAGTCAAAGTTATTTGATATCCCTAGGTCTAAGAGCTCAATCTCAAAGCTTGCACACGGGCATCCATATTTTGCCCAGTGAGAGCACCAATCGAAGGGTGATTTAAAGCTTTTGAGTGCAGTTGGCATGCAACCTAGTTGTCATACTCTAGATAACAACACCTTTCTAAGATGCTCGAAGGAGATAATCGACACTATTTCTTCATGAAGGGGCTCTTGAGTCAGGAAAAATAATCATAACAAGTTCAAGGTTGCTAGAAGAGTTATAAAAAGTGGGTTTCCCTGATTTCTGGCTGATAATAACACATTTTTAGAATACGCTGATCGCAAGGTGAATAATCAGAGTATTGTCAACAGGAAGGTACTTGACCGCCTGAAGCAATGGTCAGGCACCAGGTAAGTCCTACAGTGAGAATTCATTTGATTGGAAGTTTAGCTACATGAATGAGTTCAGGGAAGATTATTCAGGTTTGGCAACGGAGTTATCCCAATTTAATCATTAAATTGCAGGTTTCAATCCAGACATTGCGAAATGGGGTTTTGGGGTTTTGGGGTTTTGGGG